ATGTCTCTGTATAGGTGCTCGAAACAACAAAGGAATGACACTGGAATATAACTGCAACATGGTATAGCCAATTGGCTACTAATGAACCCACACCCCACTTTTGTCAATGACTGTTAAGTTAGCCTGATCAAAGCCAATTATCCTTGCTTTTAGTTTATTCAACTTTAAAGGTATTTGCATTGGAAATGTCTGCAAGAGTTGAAGTATTGCACAATTTACGCTGTTGTGTATATATTATTTATGAATTGGAAAAAAAATCTTTGTCTGCACTGTCGTTATTACTTCTTTGCCCTTATATATAAATTATTGATAAATACATTTCAAAGTATGGCTTTTGACCTATTAACACCAGAATTAATAGGATTCCTTGGTTCTTGCATAGTTAAATGTATCAAGATTGTTTTGATACAGTAAAGCTGAAAATTGCACAAATTGTGGTGCAAAATACATTTTAAAACACACTTCAACACCGTCCACTGACCCATAATTATATATGAGCTCTAAAAATAAATAAGGCATTCATGCTCATGGCTCTTGCCTGTATGGTTGATGCTTTTGGGAAGTCATAAAAGATAGGACACATGATGAGGAAGACAGAGCAAGATAAACAGTACTTACAAGAAGATATAGGAAACATACATTCAATATAAACTATGAAACAAGTTATTACAACTTATAGGAATCATTCTTGTTGGCTGGAATTTGGCCAGCCGGGGTCTTAATGTGAGAGGAAACTGGAATTCACTGAAAAGCCCACATGGTTAAGCAGATGACCCCATGCCTTTTCACCTCCGTTCGGGGATTTGAACCACATGCAGCCACCTTGGTGAACAGTGAGTGTGTTATCCACTGCACCACCTGACCACCCATACATTAAGACATGTGGATTAGAAACAGAAGATATATAAGTACCAAGAGATACAGGGAGACTGAAACCATCAGATATCATAGAGCCACTGCTGGAGAGAGGCAAACAGTTACGTAACATACCGAGGAAACACACCTCGCAGACAAGATCGTTGGAGATCAGAAAACGATAGGCATTTATCAAACTTGGAGACATTTCATTAGGACTTGAAAAACATCGGGACATTTGAGACACTGATGGGACAAAATCTGTAGGAGATCGGGAAGAGATGGGCAAACATTAGCAGACCGAAACATCAAGGACACCCAATCATTACGGGATCAGGACAATGTTGGTAGTGGTAAATCAGAAAACTTACAATCTTTAAAATCAAGATCGTACCTTGTCGGAGGCTAGACACAAGGGATCAGGAAAATGTTGGTAGTGGTAAATCAGAAAACTTACAATCTTTAAAATCAAGATCGTACCTTGTCGGAGGCTAGACACAAGGGATCAGGAAAATGTTGGTAGTGGTAAATCAGAAAACTTACAATCTTTAAAATCAAGATCGTACCTTGTCGGAGGCTAGACACAAGGGATCAGGAAAATGTTGGTAGTGGTAAATCAGAAAACTTACAATCTTTAAAATCAAGATCGTACCTTGTCGGAGGCTAGACACAAGGGATCAGGAAAATGTTGGTAGTGGTAAATCAGAAAACTTACAATCTTTAAAATCAAGATCGTACCTTGTCGGAGGCTAGACACAAGGGATCAGGAAAATGTTGGTAGTGGTAAATCAGAAAACTTACAATCTTTAAAATCAAGATCGTACCTTGTCGGAGGCTAGACACAAGGGATCAGGAAAATGTTGGTAGTGGTAAATCAGAAAACTTACAATCTTTAAAATCAAGATCGTACCTTGTCGGAGGCTAGACACAAGGGATCAGGAAAATGTTGGTAGTGGTAAATCAGAAAACTTACAATCTTTAAAATCAAGATCGTACCTTGTCGGAGGCTAGACACAAGGGATCAGGAAAATGTTGGTAGTGGTAAATCAGAAAACTTACAATCTTTAAAATCAAGATCGTACCTTGTCGGAGGCTAGACACAAGGGATCAGGAAAATGTTGGTAGTGGTAAATCAGAAAACTTACAATCTTTAAAATCAAGATCGTACCTTGTCGGAGGCTAGACACAAGGGATCAGGAAAATGTTGGTAGTGGTAAATCAGAAAACTTACAATCTTTAAAATCAAGATCGTACCTTGTCGGAGGCTAGACACAAGGGATCAGGAAAATGTTGGTAGTGGTAAATCAGAAAACTTACAATCTTTAAAATCAAGATCGTACCTTGTCGGAGGCTAGACACAAGGGATCAGGAAAATGTTGGTAGTGGTAAATCAGAAAACTTACAATCTTTAAAATCAAGATCGTACCTTGTCGGAGGCTAGACACAAGGGATCAGGAAAATGTTGGTAGTGGTAAATCAGAAAACTTACAATCTTTAAAATCAAGATCGTACCTTGTCGGAGGCTAGACACAAGGGATCAGGAAAATGTTGGTAGTGGTAAATCAGAAAACTTACAATCTTTAAAATCAAGATCGTACCTTGTCGGAGGCTAGACACAAGGGATCAGGAAAATGTTGGTAGTGGTAAATCAGAAAACTTACAATCTTTAAAATCAAGATCGTACCTTGTCGGAGGCTAGACACAAGGGATCAGGAAAATGTTGGTAGTGGTAAATCAGAAAACTTACAATCTTTAAAATCAAGATCGTACCTTGTCGGAGGCTAGACACAAGGGATCAGGAAAATGTTGGTAGTGGTAAATCAGAAAACTTACAATCTTTAAAATCAAGATCGTACCTTGTCGGAGGCTAGACACAAGGGATCAGGAAAATGTTGGTAGTGGTAAATCAGAAAACTTACAATCTTTAAAATCAAGATCGTACCTTGTCGGAGGCTAGACACAAGGGATCAGGAAAATGTTGGTAGTGGTAAATCAGAAAACTTACAATCTTTAAAATCAAGATCGTACCTTGTCGGAGGCTAGACACAAGGGATCATAAACACCTTGCTCCCACTTTAAGAACAAATACATAGATTTGAATTCAAATGATATAAATTATGTTTTTTCTATCATTGTGTTAATTCATTTTTAATAAATTAATAAAGTATGTGATTTGTTCTGTTTGCTTGGGAAAAAAAAGAATCAAATGCAATCCAAAATGTGTTATTTTACCTGTGTTAGGGTCTTTCTACAATTAGATATTGTCATCTAAGCACCAGTGCACATAGTTCATTGAAAATGTCCAATCCCTGGTGCTCAAATCAACTCTCTTGTTTTATTAAGTAACTGGTTTTGATCAATAAAAAACATTTTATTACTTTTACGTGTGGTAAACTGATCAAAGTATAAAGCCCAACCCTAGGACAATTGAAGCTGTATTTTAAACCTTACTTCAAATGTAATTGTGTACAAGTCAAACGGATACATGCTGTCTGCTTAACTGCCTGGGGATTAAAACTCAACAAGCCATCAGACTTATTATGCTGCATTTTATAATACCTTTTTTTCTCTCTCTGCATCAAAGACCTATTGCATTGGTGGTTTATGTATAACGAAGTTTATGAGAATATTTTTTTGCAATAAAGGATTGCGTATATTTCATGAAATTTTTGCACATTCTGGTATTCTTACCCAAGGTGGAAACGTCCATGATGCCCTAGAACATTAATTCTGTTATGTTTAGGAAAATTAACTAAATGTTTGAGTTAGAGCTTAATGCTGGTAGTTTTAACTCATTCACCCCTGAAATTTCATAATGAACTTTTCCAACCTTTGAATTAGAGGAGTTCAAAATGTGTCTTTGGGGGTGAATGAGTTAAGTAAGAAAATCTTCAACATTTCTATTACACAATGTTTAAATTGATATATTTTATATTGAAGTTATGAAGAATAGCTTAAAAAAATGTTGGATTTTTTTTCCAACAATGACATATTGTACTTTTCACTTCTTTCTATTTTCATTTGCTCTGCATAAAAATTATCATTGTGTAAAAAAGAGTTCTTCAAAAATTGATTAAAACTGAATGTTCTAAGTCAGGGGCCCAACTCCCAAAATAATGAGAAAAAGCCCGGCATAAAGTTGATGTAAGCTAACTAGCAGTTTCACAACTGGGCCCTGTAGTTTTGTTGGCCCCTATGATAATATATGCAGATTTACATAATAATGAAAAATGCAAACGATTTGTTAAACAAATTACACTTCCCAATTCTCCAAACTCCTACAGAAATTAGACTTTCCAATTCTCCAAACTCTGACAGAAATTGGAGGTTAGAAAAATAGACTGGGGAGCAAATCAATTCAAACCAGGTCTATTTTTTCTTTGATAAATTATTTCTTTCAACTTAAAGCACTCATTTCTTTTTTTTACTGGTTTGATTAAATGCGAGAAAACCACAAATTGGCAGTTATACACCATATTGAACTGAATGAAATCGCAAAACAAAAAGTTTGTACCTTATATATCCAGCGTGTATGTCAACCTGGACACATTAAAATCAGCATAAAACACACACTTGCTAAACAATGCAAGAGTCCTCCAATAAGCTGCAGCTGTTACTTCAATAGTGTCAATAAGATCTCACACCTGATGAAATAGTAAGGCTCACAGTATTTCTAATTGATCTTTCCTGCCTACATTCTGTTTAACTGTATATCAGTTTTATTCATCAATTTGTACCTGCTGCGAAAACCCTAGAAATAAGATATTCTTTGATAAGTAGATCTGGTTTGATTTGGTTTGGCTTGTTTGTGTTTTACATCGTATTATCAACTATGGTAATTAAAGGACATGTCCGATTTTGGTGGTGGAGGAAAGACAGAGTTCCCAGGGAAAAAACACCCACCTACGGCCAGTACCTTGCGACTGCCCCACGTAGGTCTCGAACCGACGACCCAATGGTGGAGGTCTAGTGGTAGCAGAATGTCAGACGCCTTAACCACTTGGCCACCATGGCCCCCTTTAGATTGAAACATATATACATTAAACAGAAGGAAATTGTGCTAGATTATGAAATATATGTAACTTAAATTAGCTGAAGATAAGAAATGTAAGTGTTGGCTAAAGATAAGAAATATAAGTAATTACCTGCATGTCCGGATTTCCACTGGTCAAGTGAGCACATGTGGAGCAGTGACCATGGCCTTGCAGCCTGTGCCTGGCGGTTCATGTTGGCCACCACCGCACTCGGCCCCATCAGACCGTAGTTACCTCCCTTGCTCTCTTCTGCTCCCATGGCGACAGATGCAATGCTCACATCACAGGATTTTCACAACCTGTAAAGTAGAACCAATAATTCATTTTATACTCTCATCACAGGGTTTTTATAACCTGTTGAATACAACCAATAGATTTATGAAACACAATTATTCTGAGAGAGAATTGTTCCTTAGTTTCAATTCATGGAAGATCTTAAAGGAACGAAACCCTGTAAATTCTGGAAAGTTCACACATCTTTTGTAGGTAACAAATATTTTGCCTGCATTTCACATACTGATCTTTCTTTATATCTTTGCTAGGAATAGTGTGCCTGTTTCACCAGGAACATGTAACATATTTATCTTACATTAAGCCTGTGAGGCTAGCACATAATCTGACTTTGAGTAGGTGGGTCCGGGGCTTATTACAGGACAATAAAACAGCATTTGTTGGAATTTCTACTGAACTGCAATAGGTTCGGGTTGACTATTTACCAGGCATGAGCTTATTGCCAGATAGGAATAACTTAAGTGTTTATATAATATTTGAATTCCGGATCAATACTTAATGACATTTAACTCGCAAACAGATATCACACAATATGTAAGTACCCTACAATTATTCAAGCCATATGAGCTAAATTCGAATTACAAGAACATCCTTTTTCACTCTTGTGAGAATAAAATTAGGCTACCTGAAACCTGTTTTTCTGTGATCAGTTTCGCTCTAATGTTAAGTGGTAATATATCGGCTAAAACATGTGAAAAGGTCAGTCCGCTGCTAAAAAATGTTTTGCTGTACAAAAACACTAGCATAAAAAACCAAGTACACTAAGAAATGGCAGACAGTTAATAAATCTTTAAAATATTCTTGAGAAGAACAGACAGATGTACATGCATGTAACAATCAATATTGGTAAGAAAAGTTAGCTTATATGTACAGCTTTGCACGAAATTGCTATCAGCTGTGAATGCAATTAGACACAATTTTAACAGAATGATGCACCAACATTTAACAGTACGATATTTTTGAGAAAATTCGAGAAAATCAGAACGTAAGATGAGTTTTCCAAATTATACATAAATTCCTGAAGTAAAGTGTACTCAGGCTCAGGATGTGAACAAATTGGAATATATATGGTCCGTGGAGACTGCTATATCTGTCGTGACTGTACATAGTTGATTTCCCCTGTACAGAGATCATTGTAATCACCCTGTATATACACACTCAGATTGGCCTGTATTAATACTCAGAGGTCGGCTAATTGTCAGACCAATGTTTATCTAATCTATAAGCCCAGCCATATGAAGGCCATCTGTTGGTAGTGGTCTACAGTGCTAGCTGATTAGTGGTGATGCTGTAGGATTCCTGGTTGGTAGAGTCATGGAATTCCACAACAAGATCAATGCAGGAAAGTTTAATAGATGAGAATGAGTCTGTAGAAGTCGTTTATATGTGACTTATTATTTTGTCAGGAAACTGTACAAAATCTTCAGTTAGGATTCAGTGGATATCGAAATTGAAGTTTATGTGCATACCATATTTAGTTTTAAGTATTAAATGTAAAGGATTAATTAATCAAAATCTGTAGATCCTGCTAACCATAGCCTTCTATCTTATTTAAGAAGATCTGGTATCTGTCACAAAGCCACCATCCTATGTTATATTATCATGTGTTACTAACACACACCAGTTTCACTACCAAGTCTGATTGAATGTGTTCTGCTGCATGTACATATATTTATACATCTCACCTAAACATGGCAGTTAACATAGCCAGTCAATATTCTACCTGTCCAATATTAAATGACCATCTTCAATATGTACGGTCTATCTGACCGTGACGATGATGGTCAATGTGTAAGTCCATCCTTTCTGACCCTCACTAATGATGGATGATGATCACCAGTGTGTACATCTACAATGTGACTGATCAATCACAGGCAACTGTCAAGGTGTCAAATCCACAATGTCCCTGACAAATAGTCAACTGTCAAGATGTCAAATCTATAATGTCCCTGACAAATAGTCAACTGTCAAGGGGTCAAATCCACAATGTCCCTGACAAATAGTCAACTGTCAAGCTGTCAAATCCACAATGTCCCTGACAAATGGACAACTGTCAATATGTCAAATCCACAATGTCAATTACAAATTGGCAACTGACAAGATGTCAAATCCACAATGTCCCTGACAAATAGTCAACTGTCATAGTGTCAAATCTACAATGTCAATTACAAACACACAACTGTCAAGGTGTCAAATCAACATTGTCCCTGACAAATAGTCAACTGTCAAGGTGTCAAATCCACAATGTCCCTGACAAATAGACAACTGTCAATATGTCAAATCCACAATGTCAATTACAAATTGGCAACTGTCAAGATGTCAAATCCACAATGTCCCTGACAAATAGACAACTGTCAATATGTCCAATCCACAATGTCCCTGACAAAAAGCAGAAAACTGACTGGTTAAATCCACAATGTTGCTCCAAATAGAATTAATATGTTGGTCATAATCCACACCTTAATAATGACAATCAATGTTTAAGTCCACAATGTTCCTTACTAAAAAGCAGGAAACTTAACTTTAAATGTATGCACTTAAAATTTCAGTGACCATTTTTAATTTGTAAATCTATATTTTCCCTGACAAATCTACATCAAAAACCAAACTGTAACTGTAAACTCCTGCAAATAGCAGACAACAACATTGTCCTTACTTCTAAACCCACCAAACCCTCATCATATACTTCTCAGCTATAACAAAACTGGCATGAGTAATTTCTGAACTATGATAATGTTAGTTTAAACCAGTAAAGTCTGCTTGAATCAATTGCTTTAGTAACCAGGTAAGGTTACACCTGGCTTTCAATAACAACAGGCATAAACTAAGCTGACTGCCAAGAACATTACCCTGGAATCTGGCAGAAAATACAGCTGATTGTGGTATTCTACAAATAATTTATGATTGTGTGTGTAACCAATAATTGTTACTGATACTTTTGCCATTATAAAGGGGTTTGGCGATGTATCAAGGGAGACATATAACTGAAATGTAAAGGGCAGCTAGAATTATATGTTGACAGTAGCATCAAGATAGAGCAAAAGCATGTTACTGTCTAGTTGCACTTTATGCTAAATTTTGGTTGCAGATTATAAGTACCTACCCTCCACCCCCGATATATATGGCAAAGATGAAAATATACCAAAAAACATCCATTTTCTTTTTGATCAATATTACTTAAAATGGTGTAATTTACCAAGAATTCAGTGCATCATTAAAGTCAGGTGTAAATATGTGTGTTTGTGTGCGAGTGTGTGTGCACATGCGCATGTGTTGGAATTGAATTGGAATGAAATCCATATCAAATTAACACTCCATACTCGCCATGTGTTGATTCAGCCATTCCTCACCGGAAGAAAATTCGCTGCAGAACTTATTTTGGTGGAATTAATTTTACATAATGGATTGTAATCATTATATAAAGTGTACCTTAGGCGAGGTTTAACGAATGCTATTCATAAAGAATGCATTAGCAGCAGGCAATGAAGCAGATTTCAGGCCTGTTTTAGTGCATCTAGTCTGCCAGCCCAGAATTAACCCATTCCTTGCACATATTGTATGATTTGATAAGTCAGCCAACACAATTAGAGAATGCCACCTACAAAATAATAGAGCTTGTGACCTAGTGGCAAGGCACAATCAGGATTTGGACCATAACCAGATTATCACAGTCCTGGAACTAAAACCAGCCCAGACTGCCACAAAGGCATCACCGGGGGCCCATTTCCAAATGTCTTCACTTTTAACTGTTTTAACTCAAATGTCAAGAGGTTTGGCTGAAGAGGGCTGCTAGTATCTCATGAACCAAGCCTTTGTACTCAATAATGGCTGAAATATCAAGTCAACTCAGTCTGTACAAACTCAGTCTCTACACTCAACAAGGCTGAAATATCTGGTTAACTTATTAATATCTGGTTAACTTATTATTATCTGGTGAACTAAGTCTTGGTACTCGACAAGGTTGGAAAACCTAGTACACTCAGTCACTGTACTTACAAAGGCAAAACTATCTTAGTGAACTCTGTCTTTACTCTCAACAACGGTTGAAATATCAGGTGAACTAAGTCTTGGTATTCAACAAGGCTGATAACTAGTGAACTCAGCCTTGGTACTCAACAAAGCCGACTCAGAGTCTCCTAACTCAACAAGGCAGAAATGTCTTTTGAGAACTTGGTCTATGTACTCAATAATGCTGAAATATCTAGTAAACCTGATCTTTGTACTCAATAATCACAAGACATGCATGTGTGAATGTGTGCCGGAGACAGGGTATGTTGGTGTAATTGCCCCCTTGTGATAGTGTGGATCTCAGATGCCCACTTTATAGTGCTATCTCACTGAAATACTATGCCGAAGGCACCCAGCACGGCATTCCGCCTGGTCATATTATACTGACAACGGATGAACCAGTTGTTGCCATTCCCTAAATGCTGAATGTTAAGATGGGAATAATAACTACCATTTTTAAGGACTTTGGTATGTCCCAGTCTGGTGACAAAACCCATTGACTTCCTCACCAGACCAAAAGCTCGACATTAAAGCCAAAAGTGAAGTGTTGCCAAGCAAGGTGCTAGGAAATAACAGGTTAAGCATGGTACCTCTTTACATGTTTTTTATAGTACCTACAAATATACCTAACCTCAAAGGCACTATAAACTTGATATAACGGAATAGATATTATACTATAGTACTATACTGTATAAATATTGTTGAGTCAGAAATCCTTCAGGATATTTTTTAAAACTGTTTTAAAGCAATATTGTTATTTACATGTAGGTAAATTTGGTGTTTTGCCTACCTCTTTCTAACTACATACATGTCGGCCTACTGTGAAATCATTGCTTCACAAATTCAGAGTTGATAATAATACTATTAAATGGAATTTATGATCTACAACGAAAGTATTCGAACACTTTGCTTACCTGGCGTATTACTTGCTGTATGTATACAAGGTATATTTATAAATATGTTATGGTGGAAAACACCCATAACACTTAGAGATACGTGA